AGTAGACACCCAAGAGAGGTCAACCAATCTATATGTTTATCTAATTTTCATGTATTTAGTGATCTCATATTTCAAGGCTGTAAGGGACTTGCCACTACAGTCTTGCCTCCTGCATGACACAACCAAAAATATTTTTTAATGAGTAAAATGTCAGTAGTGCCAAACTCAGCCTTTATAGTTTACCTGTCAGAACAGTGAGATCACTTTTTCAACTTTTTAAATCCTTACTCTTCTGAAGAAGTAATAGGAGAAAAAAACCCCAAAGCCCAAGCAAACCCTCTTTGCTTGTTCTAATCCCTGGATCATTTTAAAGTGGGAAGAAAATGGTGCTCAGACTTCACAGCTTTTTTTCCATACTGCTAAGTTGTAGTCAGCTTGAGACTGAGCTCTCATACAGATCCTGGCCTTACGACCCAACACTTTGCTGATACCTCTTGACCCAGAGAAGCCTCCACAGGCCAAGGCTCACCTCTCCTGAAACAAGCTGGGGGTGACCCTCTGAGGACCAGGGACTGCCAGGAAGGAGGGATGACTCTCCACTTGTTCTGCAGGGAATGGGCTCAGTCATTAGCCTCCAGCAGACCTCAGGCACAGAAGGCCTGTAAAACAAAGCAAGAACTCAAAAGATTTGGTTTCAGTGGCTTCACTGGGAAAACTTGTCCTGTGTTACCTGAAGTCATAAGCCATAAGACTAGAATGAATATTTTCTCTAAGAGATCTATAGGTTCAACTCAGTGGGGTGAAGCCTTCCCGCTTGGATCTCTAGGCTAGCATCCCTGAGAGCTGGTGACATAGCTAGGTTCCAGCAGAGCCATCTCTACACTGCTCCCCAGCAGCTGGGCCAAGGAAACTTACTTCAACCACGCTGCCAGGAAGTACAGCAGTGCTAACTCCTGTGGGTTAGCATGTAAATGTTTCTGTATTTTTGGCCCCTGAAGCTTTTTGTAAGCCTCTTCCCAGTGAAAGGGAATTGTAAAATCCCTTCCGACTGCATTTTATGGTTAGCAGCTCAATGGTTCATTAAAATCTCCCTCTCCAGAGATGAAGTGCTCCTGCCTTCTGCAGTCACAGCTCCATAATGTAACTGAAGTTAAACCTGCAGCCACAGTCACAGCACAGGAGCTCTTGACTTTTGTTCTTTGCTTTATGCCCCGTTGAGTTTAACCAGTCATATGGATGGAGTTTTCCATTCACCTCACAAAAAAACCCCAAATCAAACACCCCCTCAGTCCCCCCTGCCCTGTGTATTACAATAAGTAGGGGACAGTGCACAGAAGAGAAAGAATTAACTGCAGCATTCATAAAGGCTACTTAATGGCAGGGGTATCACCTGATATCGGTAAAAACAATCTTCAGGTGCAAAGCTGTTATTAAACAGGCTTATAAGAAAACCTTCTGCACCTATATTACAGTACCAGCAGACCTATTCCACTTTTTGGAGATTTTTGTTTTATGGCACAAAATAGTCAAAAGATAGTGTTTAGGAGCACTTTTTCCAGGAAGACTGTCACCAGTTCAGCTGCAGTTTATCATGCCCTGGAGTTCTTTGAAGTTTATCCTAAACAATTCCAAGTAAGTAATAATTAGTTGTGGATGGGTGTGGGTCTTAATCAGAAGGCACAAAGGATTCATATTTATTAATCCTATTGTACAAGGCAAGTTTAGCTTCCAGGTAGAAAAGTGTTAGGACTTTCAATGGCTTTCTTAAAAATATCTCACAAGAATCTCAAAGATCTTATCCTTTTGAAACTGCTCTGGAAGAGGTAGTCTGCTTTCTAGATTGAATACAACAGCCAGAATAGTAGCTTCTAAAGTAAATGTTGATGTATCAATGATCTGCTTTGGGCATTTTGCTCAGGTTTTTTTACATCTTGATTTGCTTTTTCAAACCATGAGAGCAGCTTTAGCCTTTCTGTATCTGTGGCAAGGAGGGAGGACTTCACTCTTGTAACAGCATTTTGCAAGTAAAAAGTTAGTTATTATGTAGGACAAATAATAATTTGTTACGTAAGGCTGTAACAACTTTAAAATTGATTGGTGAGTCATCTCATGTAAAACTCTGTTGAGGACCACAACTTAGTTTTTGATGTGGTGGCTAGTTGATTTCTGAAGTTATATTTTTCTCGGTTGTTTGACTTGGAAAGCTAACCTTAGCTTTCTTTATTATTAGTGGCTACATTGACCTGTTTTTATTTCATCTCTAGAGAGTTATTTTTTGTAATAAGGAGGCTGTAATCCCCGACAGGGATTATCTGGCAAAGTATAAGCATCTGCTCTCAGTTTGTTTCCTCAGCAGACAGGGCTGATTAAATAAACCTTGTGACTATAAAGGTGTGCTGGTTATTGGAAGGAAGAGCTGTAAACATTAGTGCAGATGGTCTAATGAGTTTGAAGTTTGAGAATAAATTTGGCAAACAGTTCAGTTTCGTTGTTCTATAACACAGAATTGGTTCCTTGTATGCAAACAAAATAATTTCTTCCCCTATATAGGAAGGAATAGAGAAAATATTGTAGTTACAGCGTTGGCTTCTCTGCCTCCCATGGTAGCAGATGGTTTTTGCTATCCATGCCCAAGTTGCAGATCCCATGAACTGAGGGTTTTTTGAATGTGAACATGGTAAGCAAGAAGGTTGGAAGTCCCCAGAGGCCTAAAACCTGAAAACAGAGCAACTGTGAGTAATATGTCTAAATTTGGTCTCATGCTGTCCACACTCAAGCACATAGCAAAACCTCATGTGATTCAGCCCAGAAGCAGACCACACATACAGAGCTGTGATACATCAACCGTTTAGACAGAGAAATGTTAAAAAAATCTCCTCATCCATATACTCTCTGAGACATTTTCCAGTGTAGGATTCTGCTCAAAAGTGCTAGACCCTCTGACTGAAATCAAAGCTCAGTTGCTCAAATCTGGTTTCAAGTTGTTGACAGTGAATCGTTTAATGGCCTGGCCAAGAGATGTCATCATGTGCCACTTGGCGGGCATGTGTCTGCATTGTTTACAAGGTTCACACGTTTTCAACAGATGAGAGCATTGTATCCCTCTTTTATGTCACGGGACAATGACACTGCTGACACATTTATAGCTATTAAACTCTTGGGGGTAGGTGAAGCCATTCAACAGTCCACTTTTATTCAGCAAATTAGAGAAGGGAAGATTCAATTTTCAAACTTGCTGATGCAGAACATGCTGCACATGCGTGGATGGGGAGTGTGACCTGTAAGGGTACAAACACACAAATAGTGATGTGGTCAGACTGGTGCTGCTAATGAACAGGATGGCATTAGGTGCTGGCAGGGCATCATGCTCAAATAGGAGTTCTGTCTGCACAAATTTTCAGAGGAAGAAAAGTGGTTAAGGTAGTTCAGTGAAATAACAGTGAAATATGGTGAAATAACAGAAGTAAAAATCATAGAATCATAGAGTGGTTTGGCTTGGAAGGGCCCTTAAAGATCATCTGCACCCTCAAGGAGTTTGCAGGTAAGCTGAGCAGTGCATTTAACACAACAGAAGGAAAGGATGCCATCGAAGGGGACCTGGACAAGCTTGAGAAGTGGGCTCATGCAAACCTCATGAAGTCCAACAAGTCCAAGGTGCTGCACCTGGGGCAGTCCCAATTTAGACATGAGCCAACAGTGCTCACTCATAGCCCAGAAAGCCAACTGCATCCTGGGCTACATCGAAAGAAGTGTGACCGGCAGGTCAAGGGAGGTGATTCTGCTCCTCTACTCTGCTCTTGTGAGACCCTGCCTGGAGTACTGTGTCCAGGGCTGGAGTTCTTAGCATAAAAAGGACATGGACCTGTTGGGGCAGGTCCAAGGGAAGGCCATGAAGGTGATCAGAGGGCTGAAGCAGAGGAAAAGCTGAGAGAGCTGGAGTCGTTCAGCCTGGAGAAAGGGCTCTGGGGAGAATTCATTGTGGTCTTCCAGTATTTAAAGGCAGCTTACAGAAAAGAGAGAGAGCAACTATTTACATGGGCATGTAGTGATAGGATGAGGAGGGGGGATGGTTTTAAACACTGCATCTCTCTGCCAGGTGGCATTCACACTCCCTTTCGAGGCACGAACACCAAGGAAGAAAAAAAGGTAAGTAAAACAACAAAGCAAGAGATGGAAGGGATCACTGTCCTGATCTCAGAGATTAGCATGGCGTACTCAAGGGAAGAGCTTGGGAAAACCTGCCTTTTCTCAAAGTGCTTATACATTTAAGAACTGTTGTATAGTCATGATTATGTGCCTGTGTTCATGCTCATAGACAGAGGTGGCTATAATCCAGTTCCCTGGTTTTCTCCCTTCTCTGCCACATAAGCATCTTGATCACTGTGCTGCAGAACTGTGCTACCTCTGCAGATTGGTGGGATGTGAAGTCACGAGACTCAATGTGAGAGAAGGGGCTATAGCCATGTATTATGGGAGACAGCTGAACCTCAGGCCCCCTAGGCCTTGTGACTACTCTACCTGTTGGAATCTGTCAGAAAACAAGGCACTTGTATTTAGAAACCTTCAGGAATAGAGAGCAGCTAAACAGGGGTTTGCTGATCCGAACATGTGCGCTTCATTCTGACAATGCACCATTCATCACCTATGTCTTTTCAAGATCTCCATCCTTCTGCCCAATATTAAAGAGTGAGAAGAGAATATTTATGAGTAAACTGCAGGCATAAGCATACTGAAAGATTGTGAAATTATAGACGTCAGAATAACGAACAAAACCACTTGACATGTCATGCCCTCTGAGTTAGGGATAAAGTAGTTACCTAAGTGATTCCTTTCCCACCAATGCAAGAACAACATTAATCATGTCTAACCATACAAATTTAGCTTCTATAGAAACATTCTGCCTCCTTTCCAGTTACTGAAAAGTTTAACTATATTATAGCCCCATTTTGATTATCTGCTGCTTGGGGAATCAGCTTCAGGCCTCCTGAAGGCACAAAAGAAGCATGAACAAACACCGGCAGGCACTGGCAGGCACTGTCTTTATTCTGAAAGCACTTTAAGAACCATGATGGAGATCTCCATCTCTATTGGATGCATCCTTTCTCCTGGAGCAGGTGTCTTCTCCAGCTGCTGTCTCTGGCCCAGACAGCTCTGTGCTAATCCTGGGGTGAGGAGATGGTACCATTTCTGACAAGTCCACAACAAAAGCCATTGACTTGGGAAGAAGAGTCCCTGCTTCTGTGCTTGCAGGAGGGGCAGTAAGCTGTTAGAGACCCATGTTTATGACAGTAGACATAGGTTTTGGTAGGCAGTGTGGCATTAAAGGAGTTAATAATAATCAAGGCAGAGATTAATATCTAATCGTAGCAACTCCAGGCAGTTTAATTTGCTTCTCTTGGCCTAGTGACAGAGTGAAACTGCCAGCTGGAGCTGTGTGAAGCCTGCTCCACCCAAATCGGAGTGGTTTCAGCCAGAAAGCACCTTTCAATCTGCCCATCCTGTCTTCCCACATGCACAGAAAGCAGAAATCATGTGCAGGTCTCCAGCTCCTCATTTCCAACTCCTAAGCTTCTCTGCACTGAGGGAATTACCTGTGATTTTATCCTTGGTGGAAGTTGACATCTCCTCAAATTTGTTAGGCACGTTCACATGCTGAAGAAAAGGTAAAGTGGCTCAATGACTTGAGATTAGTCTCTGCCTCCTTTTGTTGGAGCCATACTCACAGCACACTGCCTCGCCCCATACAGGAAGGAGAACAGGATCAAAGGGATTAATACAAAGAGTTGCAACTCCGCACTGAAATACTGTTTCCTCATCTCACTTTTCTGTCAGTTACACTCCAGGGCCCTAACTCTGGAGTTAGACTAGACTCAGGAAAGGAATAGGGTAGCCTGGATTTGGCACTGGGGATTAATTTTGTACCTGCACATCTCTTTGGAAAAAACATAGAGAAATGTATTCACTATAGCAGCTTTCTTTCAAAGGGAATTCAGTATCACCCCTTTGTACAAGAATATTTTTTGTTACTTTTCCACACTGCCTAGGTTGTAATAAAGGAGCTGATCTACAGCATATCACAGCAGTGGTAGAAGTAGGAAGGTACCTGTATGTTGCATTAGCAGCAACAACAGTGGTTGAACCCACAGGGGAAATTCCAGTAGACTGGATGAAGCCACCCAGAGTGGAATTTGGCAAAAAACCTATATTATTTCCTTTGCCTTAAAATGGTGACCCTAAGGGCTTACATGATAATATGTAATTTTATCCCTAATATGGTTAAATTGGTCATTCGCCAAATTAATTTGAATTACTTTTCCCCATGCAAGGCTTTGTCTACTTTAGGACAGTGTCCTTGCCAGACTTAATTCTAATGATTCTGTTTGTTAGAGAAATAATTACTTCAGGCTCACAGCTTAGAGTCCTCGACATTATTTCTCATGCAAAAGCTCAAAGAATATTTATGAGCAAATTGGAGGTATAAATATACTGAAAGGTTGTGAACTTATGTGATACTGGCAAGCCCATCACAGTGAGGCACTCAGGTGGTGAGCTGCTCTTTGAAGGTGTCACAAACTGCAGCAAGTGCCACTTTCACCTTTTGCTGAAATAGTTACTGAATTCTGACTGACACCATGGGGAGATTTGCCATGCAAAATGACATCCTTTTTTGGTGTGAGATCATAGAAACATAGAATGGTGTGGGTTGGAAGGGATCGGAATGATCATCTAGTTCCAACCCCCCCATCATAGGCAGGGACACCTTCCACCACACCAGGTTGCTCAGAGCCCCATCCAACCAGGCCTTGAACACTTCCAGGGATGGGGCATCCACAGCTTCTCTAGACAACCTGTGCCAGTGCCTCATCACCCTCACGGTAAAGAATTTCTTCCTTATATCTAATCTAAACCTACCCTCTTTCAGTTTGAAGCCATTCCCCCTTGTCCCGTCACTACAGGCCCTTGTAAAAAGTCTCTCTCCAGCTCTCTTGTAGGTCCCCTTTAGGTACTGGAAAGTTGCTACAAGGTCTCTCCAGAGCCTTCTCTTTCTTCTCCAGGCTGAACAACCCTAACTCTCTCACCCTGTCATCATAGGAAAGGGGCTTCAGCCCTCTGATCATCTTTGTGGCCCTTGTCTGAACTCGCTCCAACAGGTCCATGCCCTTCTTATGTTGGGGATCCCAGAGCTGGATGCAGTACTCCAGGTGGGGTCTCATGAGAGCAGAGTAAAGGGGCAGAATCACCTCCCTCGACCTGCTGGCCATGCTGCTTTTGCTGTGGTTGGCTTTCTGGGCTGCAAGTGCATGTTGCCAGGTCACATCAAGCTTTTCATCCTCTCACACCCCCACGTCCTCCTCAGGGCTGCTCTCAATTCATTCTTCCCCCATCATGTACTTGTACTTGGGATTGCCCTGAGCCATGTGCGGGACCTTGCACTTGGCATTGCTGAACGTCAAGCCTGTAAGGTACCTCTGGAATTATGTTGTTTCATGCCTGCTTCTTTTTAGGTGATAAAGACACGGTGCTTCTTTTAAAAGAGCGAGATCCCAGGGACTAAAAAAATTAGGAGTGACTGCACAGAAAAATTAGAAAATCATAGTGTCGTTAAGGTTGGAAAAAACCTCAAAGATCATCGAGTACAACCATTAACCCAGCACTGACAAGTCCGCCACTCAACCATGTCTCTAAGCACCACATCTACCCATATTTTGAACACTTCCAGAGACAGCGACTGCAGCACTTCCCTGTGTAGCCAGTTCCAATGCTTGACTACCCTTTCAATGAAGAAATTTTTCCTAAATGCCTGAGCTGACCAGGTGTCTTTGAGACTAAACCATGCCATAATGTAGAGGTGGCAAATTTTGTCCTGTCCCAAGACCAACAAGAGTCTGACTGTTTCCTTTAGCCAGTGTCATGACAGTCAGCAAACCTTTACTTTCAGACACAAGAGAGCTGCAGTGCAGAAAGGAGGGCTGGCCTGGGAAGGGCTTGTGAGAAAATGCTGCAGTGGCCCCGGGAAAGAAGCAGAGAAGGAGAGGGAGAGGGGGAGAGCGAGAGAGAAGAAGGGAAGGGAAGAGGAGAAGGAGGGAGAGTGTCTGCATATCTCTGCCACGAGGACGAAGCAGCACTTTACTACAGGCACTCACTGCACAGTGGAACTGCTTCCCGGGGTGCTGCTGCACGCCCGCCGGGATTCCCCGCCTCTTCCCACCGGGACTGTCTCCCAATCCCGCGCGCCCCCTGGCGGCGCCCGGCGGCACAGGAGCCGCGGGGGCGGAGCGGAACCGGGACCGGCGCCCGGCCCGGCGCTCCCCGAGACCCGCAGGGCGGGACAGGGATGGGCAGGGCGGGACAGGGCCAGGCCTCGCCGGGCGGGCGAGTCTGAAATGCAAGGGAAAGGCAGAACAAAGGCTGACAGATACCTTTCCGCTTTGGGCAATCGGCCTTTGAGAACTCGTCCCGGGCTGGGGCTTTCCCACGGCCGTAGGGGGGCGGGCAGAGTTTTTCGCCTCTCTGTGAGGTGTTAAACGGCACGAGGGGACCGGCCGGGAGGCTCCTGCTGCAGAGCCGACCGGCACGGCCTGTGGCCGGGGGGAAGGAGCTCCCTCGCTTGCGGCACGTTGGGCGTGGGCGGAGCCGCCCTCCTTCTAGCATCCACAGGGCTCCTGAGCGACTGCCTGCAAGCCCAGCTTCACCTTCCTCATCTGCCTAAAAGAAGGAATTAGCAGCAGCCAGGCAACACCTTAGGTTGCCTTCTTGCCTCACGCAGCTTGGAAACTGCCTTTTCTGATTGCCACATACCACTCATATGAAACCTGGGACAGGCTCCCAGAAACACCTTGGATTTAAATCTAGGTCTTCCCCAGATGGGGACAGACAGATGGATTGGTGACCTCTGCCTAAGATGAGGAAGATGTCGTAGGCTTGCTGCATGGGAAGAGTTCCACTTGATTGAAGAAAACCCAGGAAGCCCACTGCAGCTGAACCTTGTCCTCAGAGGAGCGGTGGGCTATGACCCCTCCTGCAGCTTTGTGGCATATCTTTTTTTGGGTGCTGAGCACACATACACACACACACATCTGTGGGGTCAGCTCCCAGCCAGCCCTATAATACTCCAAAGCTCAGTGACACCAAATAGCACAAAAATAAAAGAATGTTCATCAGGAAGGCCCTGAACCCTTCCTTCTTACTGGAAATCCTGATGCAAAGATCATGCTGTATCAATATTACATTCCTAGTAGGATGGTAGGATGTTCTCAGCTCAGTATGATTTGTAACTATCTCTTCACTGGTTTGCTTTTTCTTAGTCATCTATTTTGCCTAAAAGTTTTGTAAGCAGATTATGCACAACTTTATGAGTATACAGTGATAACCTAGTGACTAAAATACACAGAAGATTGCTGGGGCTAATGTGCTACTGGACTGTATTTTGGGATGCAGACTTGTGACATTTCCCTGTTGGCCTGGCAACTCTCAGTGCCAAGGGGATGTAGCAGCCTCCATTAGACCTTGGAACAGGCTGATTTTTGGTCTTATTGAGCCATTTTGACTCTCTACTTTATTTCTTAGGGGTTTATACTGCTTCAAATTGCCACTTGTCACTTGAGTCCTCTTGTTAGGAGTTAATCTTGCCTGAACACCTTTACTCCTGTCTTTGCTTTTACTTCTCTTATGTGGTACAACTTTAGCATCAGTATCCCCCACAGCTTATTTACCCCACAGCTCCTCACTAAAGTTGCACCAAAGTCATGCAATCTTGCCTTGCAAACCTGGGCCTTGGCTTGCAGGCAGCTGAATCCCTGGGCTGTGAGGTTATGGGGAGCAGAAACATGCCTGGCCTGTGAGTGTGTGAGCTCAAATGGGGAGCTCAGGAGGACCAGCCCACTGCAGTAATAATATTCACACTCAGTCACAGTCAAAGCAAAGCCTAACAGTGAAATAAAGTGCTGATGTGATTCCAGTTCTCCTATGTTAATAACATGTGCCTCCTCACACTTTCTCTGTTCCACTTGCCTTCATAATGTGGCTGTCACCTGCTAAGAAAGGACTTGACTCATTTGAATGTATTTTGTATTAAAATGCTGATTTGTTTCTGTAGACAGATTGCCACACAAAGTAGAGCAAAATCCATTAGTATGAGAATACAAACATAGATGCTAAAGGTTTCATTTTATTATTGACATTTTATTGGCTGTAATGCATGTTCCTGGTTAAAGCAAACAGCATTAAGAGACACAGCTGGGAGTCTTGCCTCCTTTCACACATAGCTACAGCTATATGGGGCCCCTAAATAGCTCATACAGCACATAGGCAAGCATCTAACTGGGGGACCTATGGATAGACCTAAGTGATCAAAACCTCCTTTTCTTTTCTTTTGCTGCAATAAACCTGTTTCCCGCGTTTCCATCCTCTGCGTGGTGCATGGATGAATGTTTCCTGAGTGCAAGGGAGAGTGATTGGTGTGTGGGTGGTACCTGTCCCACATCAGGGACGAGCTGACATCCTCTTGGAAGGGGAAGTGATAAGTTGTGGAAAAATAGTTGAATTTTATTACCTTGTGATAGTAATTTAACAGGAAGTAGAAGCTTCTACTCAGACCTACCAGCAAGCTTTTCTAGTATTCAGCTGGTGATATGAATTAGATTACTGTTAGATATTTCTTCAGTTTCTACTACAATTTCTTTTTATTATTTCATTATTTGACTATTATCTACATTGTAAGTATTCCCACACAGCCTGTTTAGGATGTGTGAAGCAAGTGATATGAAATAAAACTGTTACATACTTTTTTATTTCTGTTACATACTTTTTTATTTCTGTTTTCATGCATTTCTTTAAGAGTCCTGAATCAGCATTTCTCTGAAATGGTAATGGAAATGCTAAAATAGCCTGGGATTTTTTTCAGAAAATAAGTAACAAAATATTTTATTTAGGAAATGTCCTAGTTATGTGTAAAAGGAAAGGATAAAAAGTACACCAAGATGTTAAGTGTTTGTTTAAGGTATGGGATTTTAGTAGATATGTAATCACATAAACACTGAATTAATGCAAGGAGCAATAGAACTGTTGCCATTTCTGTCAGGTATTACCCCATCTAGTAGCGCTGATTGCTCAGTGCTCAGACCTCACTATGGCTCCTTTTTAGAAAACCTACCAATAACAACAAGTTGAGATGGCCAAGTAGCCAAGAGGGCCAAGACCTCAAGGGTAATCCTATGTGATGTACAAGGAGGAAGGGAATTTTCTTACTTGTGCACCCTTGTTCTCTTGGTCTCTTGTCAGCACTGTTCTCTTTTGAAAACTAAACAAAAATTAACCACTAGATGGCTGTATTCAGTAACAAAAGGCTGCACATACCTCCTTTTTCTGCTATAATCTGTATTATAGATGCAGTATTATTTTTATAAGTTCAATTAGCCTTTTCATGGTCAAATTTATGTGGACAGGCCAAAGAGGCAGGACAACCCACCCTGATAAGTTTATTGGTTATGTTAGCAATCTTGGTTATTCTGTGTATTAGTAGTTGGGCTACTACCCCAGACAAGGAGGAATGTAGGGTGCAGTGCCATGCAGAGTTTTGTCATAGCTCTTCACAAAACCAGCTTGAGCAAGACA